AACAATAACCTATGTGCCTATCAACATGTTGGCATCTCGCATCTACATGTTCATTTTCTAATCCAATTTCTCCCACTCACTTCACTTGTTTATTTTCTAATCATTTAATTAAGAAAAAGCCATTCTATTTATTTATTTTGGACTATATCCAAACATGTCAATGATGAAAGCTCATCTCTACCTTTATTTGAAATTGACAAATAACAGTACTAGATTACTACATATTACTACTAATTTTCTCTTTTAGATTAAAAAAAGAGAGTAATCTAAATTAAAGCAAAGTAACAAATTTTGTGTCTAAAACCCTTTTCCTAATTTTTCCTTTTTTTGTCATATTTTATGATCAACTTAGAAACTTGGACCAACTCTCTGAAATTCTCTCATAGTAACGTGATATTGTCTATTTTGGGTGATTTAACTTCCAAGAGTTTGGGTGTTTTGGAAATATTCACCTCCATATTTAACTCATCTTTTTCCCTCATAAACACTCCAATGCTTTATCCATCATCATCTCTTTGGTAGGTACCCACGATAAATGTGGCATAATAACTCCCCTACCTCTCATCAATTATATCCTATCCAATTCCTATATGGTCCCACTCTCATCATCATGTAGATTACATAAAAAATAATATCAAATGACTCTAAATTAATTATATTTTATAATTATTTTTCATTTTAATAATATTATAAGTTTAAAAAAAATAGAGGTTTCTTAGTGCACCCTCATAACGGTGAAATAAATCTCTAAAAATCTTTAAATTTTTTTCGAATATGTGTATCAAAATGAATTCTTTATTGTTTGTATAAAAAATATTTTGGAATATATATTTTTGAATAAATTTTTTTACGAAATAAAATATTTTCAGATATATATTTTCGAAACATTCTATTGTATTTGATGTTGGATCTTTTTAAACAATAATATTTATGATGAGAGAGATATTCTCTATTTAATTTTCTTTTTTATTTTTAATAAATTTTTAATCAATTGAACAGGTTGAAATTTTTTTAGATTTCTTTCTCTCACCATAAGTTTCTTTCTCTAACTATCAATTGATTCTAATTAATTGAAAACAAAAAAGAAAATTAAATAGAAAGATCAAAATATTTCATTCATCATAAATATTACTGTTTGAAAAGATCATCATTAAATCAAATATTAATTACTAATATTTCCTTTTTAATTACAAAAAAACACATTTCCATATTTATATCTGAAAATATTTTTTTATAAAAAAAAATTTATTCGAAGATTCATATATAAAAAATAGATTTTTTTACATTAATAAAAATTTGTTCGAATATTTATATCTGAAAATAAATATTTTATAAAAAAACAAATTTAAATATACATATCTAAATCCCAAAAATATTAATAAAGTCGAAGGATGAATTAAGAAACTCCAAAAAATATACCTTTTTTTTTTGTTTTAGTGCATGCAGTTTTTATTGTTTAGTTTGGCTCATTACAAGTAAATGATATTTTGTCTTTAGCCTTTGTTCAATTATTTAATTTCTATAAAATTAATTTCTTTAATACTAAAATTAATCACTCAAATATTTATACTATAGATACTAAAATTTAATATTTTGTATATTATAAAAATAAATTAAAATCAATCAAAGAAATTATAGATATTAAATTTAAAAAATGTTATTTTTCATTAATTATTTACATATAAATTTTATTTTAGTCTTTAAATTTATTAATTTAATTTATTGTTTTGCTTTACTCCTTTAACTAAAAAATATTATAAGTTAATTCCTTAATTTTACTTTAGTCTCTTCCGTCAAATTCTGACAAAAAACATTAAATTATAGTGACGTTGATGTACAACAAGACTAAACGTCCAAATGTGACTCATTTGTACTATAAAATAAGATTTTCACTTAAAAGTTGTCCACCTTCTGAAAAATTTAAATAAAAATTCTACTGTATAATATAAATATTGAATCACATTTGAATCTTAGTTTTGCTATACATCGATTTTACCATAATTTAACGTTTTTTTTATCATAAATTGATGAAAAGGATTAAATAATGTAATAGAAATAAAGTTAAGAGACTAAATTGTAATATCTTTTAATTAAAATATTAAAGTAAAATATTAAATTAAGTTAAAAAAATTAAAACATATATTAAATTTGTTTTAATCAATTAAAATTTAGACAATTTAAATTTCAAAATTTATTCAATTTATATATTTAAAAAAAAAATTCAAATAACAATGGCACTTACAAAAATATTTAGTATTATCCATCAACTAGACTCTCATATCGCCAAAAGTAGAATTTAAATGTAAATTTTATTTTTTTACTTTAAAAATATTTTATTCTATTTTATGAAATTTGTGTCAAAATTATTAATTAATAAAGAGATGATATAGTTTTCAAGCAAACAATTTTTATTTTTTGAAAACAATAAAATCATTTTTAGAAAATCATCACTCTCAAAAAATATACTATTTTTAAATAATGTTCATCTTTTCGTTATCACAATCATTCATACATCTCTTTAAAAAGTTAAAATATCACAACAACAAAAATTAAAAAAAAGTCTATGAGTAAACAATGCCTTAAATTCTTATAAAATTTGAATTTAATCCTTACCAACCTACCAACCAGTCAACTAGACAAATAAAATTTCGCATAAAATTATATAACCAATTTTTTTCAAGAATTCAAATCAACCACTCCATATATTTTATCCATTTTATTCTTTTTAATTTAATGCATACTATTACTAGTAGCCAACTTTAATTATTATATACTACTTCATATATATGTTTTTCACATAAATAAAAGTTAGTTGGTTGGTTCAATATGGTGGTCCCAAACAAAAGCAATAAATTATTTTTTTTACTTTTTAAGTCTCAACATAAAACGAACTATAACTATAACCATAAACAAAAAGGCATTAAGTTATTTCCCACTGTTCAAGGGTATTTTGGTCAATTACAAAGTTTCCAGAAACAGAATCTTTACACTTACTTCTCTCTTAGATTACGAAAATACCCTTATCCGCTTGGCGCTAGAAGCTGTTTTTATTTATTTAACCTGCGCTTACACGCAAAGCAGGAAGTTTCGTTTCGTGTGTGACCCATTGCCGCATTTATTGCGTGTCACTCACTCGTGAATTCAATTATTAAAAAAGTGATTTTTTGTCACTTCATGTTCTCTGCATTTAATTAACTTAATTATTTAAGTGATTTTTTTTATCTCAAGTGTATAAACTTGGCGTGTGGACCGTGTAAGAAGTTGACTTGGCCAAGCCGAGCCGCCGCCGCCAAGTGGAGTATTATTTGAAGAACTTTGTTGAATTGTAATGATTAGACCAACTTCCGTGTAGTGAAAAGCTATAAAGAACAAACCGCCCAATAGAAAAAGTGTATAGATTTCCTCCTTGGAAAATCTATAACCATTTCCTACTACTCCATGTAGTTTTTCTTTCTTCTTTTGATAGGACATGTCACTTTTTTTTCTTTCTTTTTTTATGTGTGGTTTTTTTTAAAAAGAAAAAAAATGAACATGTGTTTAATTTGTAATTGTATTCACATTTACATTAAAAAAAACTATAATTTTAATGCGTTTTTATAATATTTATATTAAATATATTTTTAATAATAGTAATTTGGATATTTAAATATCCATTCAAATTAACGTGTATTAAATTAAATTAGATTTATTTTATATGAATCATCCGAATTTGGATATTTAATGGGTTTTTATATGATTTTTTGTTTTTGTTTTGGATTGGACTAAAGCTTAATTCAATGAAACAATGTTATCTAGGTCTATAATGTGAAGGAGTATACAGTGGCATCTTCGGTTGATCATTCATGGCGTCCCTGGATGTATTGACTTCTCTTGTGCACCAGAATTTAAAGTACTACGATGAGTTTTGCCAGCTTGTCATAGTCAAAGTCGACATTTTTGGAGCTCGTTAAATACATGAAGTAATAATGAATAGTCATTTAATGATGTCATCATATTTGGAGGAAAGAACAATGAAGCTAGTAGAGTGGTAAACCTCACCAAGCTCAACGCTCGCAAAGAAGAAATCTTGTTGGGAGACGAGTTGGATCCTCAATTGGAATCAAAGCGAACATTCTAAGACCAACTATGGGTAGAGACTTCGAGATCGTCCAGTTAGATGATAACATAATGAGATCAGTAAAAATAGAGTTCGGACTACTTACTGAGGTAAAAGCAAGATTAATAGTATGTTTGAAAGTCAGCATTAATCTTTTCGCAATCCCTCTTCACGAGATATCGAGAATAGATCCTAGTATGGCATGCCATCAATTGAATGTTGATCTTGGTGCTTAGTATGTGTCGTAAAGGAGAAGGCAACAATCTCTGAAGAAGGCAAAGGCATCAATGAAAATTGTCAAAGGTTTATTAAATGTTAACTTCATCTTCGAAGTGAAATACACTAAATGGCTATCTAATATAGTCGTCGTCAAATAAAGGATCGTGAAAATAGAGAATATGCATCAATTATACCAATTTGAACAAGGCGGGCCCTAAATACTCATATCCATTCCAGAGTATATATAAGTTGGTTGATAGCTCGGTTGGGTTCAAAATCCCGTCTTTTATGGATGCATACTCCATATACAATAAGATACACATGTACAAGACAAACAAATGGAAAATTTCCTTCATGACCGAACATGTGAACTATTAATACAACTTAATGCCCTTTGGTTTGAAGAACACATGAGCAACATATTAAATGATGATGAACAAGGTTTTCAAGGAAGAAATCGGCAAAATATTAGAGGTGTATATGGATTACATGATTGTCGAGTTTAGCAAAGAAGAGATGTGCAACCAACACTTTGCTCGGGTATTTTGAAGAATCCGACAATATAATATAGGGCTCAACCCAAAGAAGTGAACCTTCGGAGTAAGATCCGGTAATTTTCTGGGTTTTTATTTGAAAGAAAAGGGGCATAGAAGTGAATCTAGACAAGTGTGAAGTTGTCGTTTAGATGGCGGCCCCTACAACAAATAAGGAAGTCATAAAGTTGAATGGAATTTCGACGACTTTAAATAGATTCATTTCAAAGTCAAAAAAATATGCCATACCTTTTTACAAGATATTGAAGAAAGAAGCACTTTTCAAGTGGACCCCTGAGTATCAACAAGCCGTCACGTCCCTAAATATGGTCATGTCTACTCTTCTTGTTCTATCTCGACCTATGTTGGGGAACGTATATACCTTTATTTGGTTCTATTTGAGGAGGAATTAAGTGTTATCCTAGTAAGAGATCCATGTGGACAACGAAGCCCGATTTTTTCATCTTCAAAGCCCTGGTCGGGCCAGATACGCAGTACCAAAAGATAGAAAAGGAAACACTGGTTTTAGTAACAACACCTAGGAAGCTATGCCATTATTGTAATTATGAATGCAACCTACGATATGGTGAATTAAGGTTGCCTGATTTTTCTCATTTTTGCACAAGAATTCTTAACTTGTTATTTTTCTAGAAGTTATAAATATATGTTATGTTCTCAGAATAATAAAATTCAGAAAATTAAAGTGTTGGAAAATAAAGGACACATGCAATTATAATAGTTCCCTTTATCAACAAATGGTACATTTAATCTCTTCACACCTTGAAGGATTTTCCACTAAGTTAGATCCTTATACAAGTCCCCCACCAAGACTTCCTTATAACCTTCTAAAGCAAAAGCATACACCAAACCTATGATGGACTATGAATCACCCCAATTCAAAAGATATTTTTCACAAAAACACCAAACTCTATAGTGGACTTTGAATCAACCCAATTCAAAGAACCTTTTTCATATAACACCAAAAATTATGGTGAACTTTGAATCACCACAATTCAAAAGACCTTTTTTTTACAAAAACACCAAACTGTATGGTGGACTTTGAATCAACACAATTCAATGAACCTTTTTCACAAAACACCAAACACTATGGTGGACTTTGAATCAACCCAATTTAAAAAAACTTTTACACAAGCAACTTATCACCACAAACTTGATGATTAAGTCACAATACACTTTTAGTAATTTGAATAAACTTGTTTTGGCATTTATTCACTACAACAAATAATACATTTCATGAGGAATCTTTCACCTCATCCAGAAAAAAACGAGGTATTAAGCTTAGGCACACCATGTTTTATTTATTTTTATTAATAAAAATAATAACTTACCTCGATTTCTAAGATATCCAGGGGAAACTAATCAGGACGCACTTTGAATCCCAACTTTTGTAGTTTATATTTTTATTTGATTATAATTGTAAATTAAAACAACTAACCCTTCGGTTTTTTTATATAACTGAGGGATCAAATAATCAGATTTCACTATAAAAGCAAATAGATTTTACCCTAATCCTCACTTATTTGTAGTCGTCCCAAACTCGCAAGTATCATTCTTTGAGATGGATTGCAAGACAGAAAAAACCTTTAATATTTTTAAAAAACAAAAAAAATTATGCCCTTGCAATTTATCTCACATAATGGTGTTGATGTTGTTGTTGGTGTTGTTGTTGTTGTTGTATTTTTGCTCATTTGATAAATTACAAGTACAGAAAAATCATCTTGCTTCAAGTTACACAAAGAAGGAAACTTCCTTCTCTTTTGAAAAGTTAAAAAGAGAATGGAGCTTAACTAATCAAATGATGGATATCAGTGAAGATATTCATTCAAAATAGCATAGATTTATTGTAAACCATTTATTTTAATATTTTATATAAATAATATAATTCAAATAATAATAATAATAATACTTTTCACCTTGGTTTTTTTAAAAAACCGAGGTGATAGTTAAAATCAGAAGATAATATACCTCGTTTTATGTTAAAGTCGAGGGGTAAAGTAATCAGATTTTACTATAAATATCATTGTTAAACAGATTTCACCCTAATTCTAACTTATATGTAGCCTCACCAAATAGAGGAAATATTTACCAGTGTCCATTGCCATGAAAATTTTTGATCTAGAAATGCTTAAGAACAGATCTCTGAGATGGATTGCAAGTGCAGAAAATAAAATAACTTATCTGAAGTTGGATAAGTTATGGATTACTTTTTGGATATGCAACATAAAGGTATGCAACAAAATTTGGATTCCACCAAAGATCTGTTGTAAACAATTTATTTCCAATGGTTGGATCAGATAACCCCTTATAGCAAAAATTTGTTGTTCTCCAAGAATCTCGATTTTTTTGTAATATTATGTTTTAATATTATTTGTAAACAATGTAAGTTAAAAAAAAATTTGCACCTCGGTTTTCCTAAAAACCGAGGGGATATTTTAGCGTTAAAGTTGAGGATATTTGTCACCATTTTTAATCAAATCCTTGTCGTCCATTTCATGACTATCAACACTCAAGGCACTATCATTAGTGATCCATGTGAAACATAAATAACTTCCATTATAAAAGCATCATGAAGCTCTTAAAACTATCCTCCACTTTAAGATTTGCAAGAGTCTTTGTTATGAAGAGTTATCTATGATGGATTGCAAGAGCAGAAAATTATTTGGGTTTAAGGTTTGTGTTCTTAAATATTTATTTGAACAAAAAATTATTTATTTATCTAACCATTTTTTTATTCATATCAGAAACAAATACAAGAAAAAGTAATTTAGAATATACTGTTTCCCAGCATTTGATCTTCCCAGGATATCAAGGATTTGAAGATCCAACATATGACTTCATGGACAACTTAATTTTTATTTTGATATTTTGTGTAAACAATGTAACCATTTTAATATTCTGGATAAACATTGTATTTTGTAAACAAATTATTTTATTAATTTTTTGTGTAAACAATATAACCAATTTAAATTTAAAAAATACTAATAATTTACCCCTCAATTTTATTGATAACCTGAGATATATGAGGCGCTACTATTGTAAATAATAAAAATGAAGATGATGGGATTTGAAACCATGCACAATTAAAATACCCTCATTGTTTTAAATACCGAGGTGTTAAGTCCATACTTTTATGACGATCTTAGTTACCTCACTTCTATAGCCGAGGTAAAACACATTTCACATCTGACGTTAAATGAGCTTTTTGTAGTAGTGATTCCAAGTAAATGATTCATCTTTTTCTCTTGATCACAATTCAAACTCATATACTTAATTGCTCATAATGTTTGAATAAAACTCTTTAAATGATATGAAAGTTATGCACAAAGTTTCATTGTTAAAGTTGTATAAACACTTGAAAAATAATTTGAATTGTATGAATTTATATGTATAAAAGAGGTTATTTGAATTCCATAAGTCAATAGCCCTATATACATCCTATGATACCTCTATGAGAAGATGCACAAGTTTAGAATCAAAGTATAAAGCATTGCAATGTATTAGAAATATCCTATATATGAAATAATACATTGCTTCACCTTGGTATTCTAGTACCATAATATGGTAGTCGAATACAACATCCCTAATGTTTAAAAAAATTCAAATTTAAATAGTGTTTCAAAACTAAAATTATTATGGAGGTTCTGAAAGTGTTATAACGACGACTTTGATTTCTATAATTTTTCAAACACAATGAACCGGTAATCGGTTCCATATTTTGTATAATTGGTTACCACTCTTCTAGTTTTCAAACCGGATCTTCATGTAACAGTTACGCAAAAAAGCAAGAAACTTACGGTGGTTCTAAAAGTATGATTATGGCAGTTTCAGATGCCATAATTTACGAAAATGACGTTTTTTTCAAAAATATGAAACATGAAAACCTGATAACCGATTACCACTTTCATGTATTCGATTAAAATTGTGTTGAAAGTGAAAAAATAGCTTTTTTTCATGGCAATGCTTGAATGTTTTTTATGCGTGATGGTTTAGAAACTTTAGAAATGACAATGTATGAAATATTTTAAGCATCTAAAGTGTTATAACATGAATTGTAATGAAACTTTTAAACTTGATCATTTATTTTTATTCTTAACTTTATTAGCTTAATCAAAGATCAACACCTTACCATCAATATTTATTCTTTGGTCACCATTGTCTTCATCAATCTTAATCATGATCAAACATCTTAATTTAAGCTTCATAATTGACAAGCATTCATCATGTGACTTTTGAAGCTCGTTCTTCTTAGATAGTATTCATCAATATTTGTCTTCATTAAAAACTACATTTTATAGAGGATGGATATCTTCTTCACGGTTTTTTCTTAGCTCATGACATAGTTGTCACGATTGATCTGTTAAAGTAAGTCATTCATCTTCTAGATCTACCTAGGAGACATATGAAATGGGCCATTGAGATGTTTGAGTTTTATGTTTCTTATGAATCCAAGAAATCTTTAAAGGCACAAATGTTTCAAATTTCCTACTATAAATAATCAAGCCGAGTGTGAGGTGATTGTTGTTGGGCTTACTCTAGTCATTGAGATGGGGATGGAAAGCATCAAGCTAAGGACATAATCCTAACACGTAGTCTCACAAACTAAAGTAGAAGCCCATACAAAATAGTTAATGTTTTATCAATATGGTTTCCTAGCAATAAAGATGTTGGTGAAATTCAAAACATCAGAGATAAGGCACGTCCTAAAATAGAAGAGCATCATAGAATATGTCATGACTAAACTGGCTAGCACTAAATCATTTGAGGTAAATCATTCCTTCATTCAAGAAACTCTGATAAGACCAAACATAGAGTCCAAAAATCATGATGGTGGAAATAAACAAAGACACACGACCATCTTGGATAACACCCATTGCAGCTTACATTGAACACGGAACATTCCCTACTGACTCAGTTGATGTCACCTTGGTGAAGAGAATGGCCAACTCTTACTCCTTGATCAAATGGACATTATACATGAAAGGGTTTTCAATCCCATGTCTAAATGTATGGAAAATATCAATCCACCTACACTCTAGTTGAGGTGCATGAAAGGATAGCATGGCAACACCTAGGCGCACGAGCATTGACTAAGAAAGTTCTCAAAGTCGGATAATATTAGCCAACTATAGTCTAATGTACTAAAGAGTATGTTAAAAAGTCTGACATATGTCAACGACATGAAAATGTCCACAAAGCTCCCCCATCTAAGCTACATGTATTAACATCACCTTAGAATTTTTCGTAGTAGGGGATGGATATTTTTGGCCCCTTTCCCTATGAAGCCAAGAAAAATCAAGTTCATGATCATCACACTGGATTACTTCACAAAATGGGTAAAAAAAGAAGCATTGGCAAAGATTACATTAACCAATATATTGAAATTCTTCAAAAG